AAGCTGGACCATATATCTTGCATTGTGTTGGTCTAAAACAACCTCATTCAAGATATTTTGGTGTGTATTGGTCAGAAGCAACCTTGAGCAAGATAGCTTTTTTTTAGAGATCCTTAAAAGCGAGTTTGACCAAGATAGCTTGGTTTTAGAGATCCTAAAAGCAAGCAATCTTCGTCAAACTTGCTTTTAGAGATCCTTAAAAGCAAGTTTGATGATGATAGCTTGCTTTTAGAGATCCTAAAAGCAAGTTTGACCAAGATAGCTTGTTTTTAGAGATCCTTAAAAGCAAGTTTGACCAAGATAGCTTGTTTTTAGAGATCCTTAAAAGCAAGTTTGACCAAGATAGCTTGTTTTTAGAGATCCTAAAAGCAAGTTTGACCAAGATAGCTTGTTTTTAGAGCTCCTAAAAGCAACCTCGATCAGCTTGAACCAAGACCTCCGACTTCAACGTCATATGCAAGCTCAACTTGGCTATCTTGCCTTTGTCTTGATTGAAAGCAAGCTAAGTGAAGATGACTTGCTTTGTTTGGCCAAAAAGGGAAGTTTATTGGAATAAGAGAAAACGAAATAAAAGAGAAGCGAAAACAGGGAAAGATTATTTCTATATTTATCACTTTTTATTTTCTTTCCTTTTATTATTATTATTTTTTTATTTATTTATTTACTTTTTTTGTGTGTGTGTTGATTGCCTTTCTTATAAGTTTTTAAATGTCTTGACTTTTTTTCCTCGTTTTTTTGTGATTTTCTTTCATCATTCTTGTCCCATTGAATTGATCTTTCTTCAGTTGTACGTTTTACTACCCCCCCATCATTGAAAATCCCGGATGCTCGTAAACTTGGCTTCTTCTCTCCCGTGGTGAACTTGCAACCTCGCGCGCAATAAAAAACGACAACGCAAAGGAAATTTATTGATATTATTTGGGTTGTTTACCCCGTTTTCTCTCTTCCCTTTCCTCTTTCCGGTTACTTTTGCCGTTTCTTTACCCGAATCACCTTACTTTACATTTTCATCCTCTCTGTCTCTCTCTTGGTTTCCGTCTTTTTTCTTTTCGTCTATCTTTCCCTCTCTCTCTCTCTCTCTCTNTCTCTTCCCTGTCAACCTAATCAGTGTCATAAGTCGTTTACAGTGAGGGTGATAAATTTCTTGGGGATTAAGAGTCTTCTTACACCGATTAAACACTTTAAAATGTCACTAACTTTTTGCCTGAATTCTCCAATATTCTAATACTCATTCTTACCTTTTGAATATTATACTTTACTTCTTTCTTTATCAACATATGTTAATGTTATTTTTCTTACTTTGTCTTTATATCATATCTTTAAGACTATATCTTTAAAATCTTAATTATCGTTCTAACCATAATGATTCAGAATGTCAAATTATGTAGCGAATCAATTTACAAATAAGAGAATGTCTGTCTTTTTTTTAAAGAATTAAAATGAAGATTCTTCATAAAACCAGATTATGTCAAGCACTCAAACTCTTCGCTTTGTTTTCCTATTCATGAATTTATAACCTCTCTGACAGGGATTCGAACCCCCACCGCCATTGCAAAGAAATCACAAGACGGGCACTCTATCCACTGATACACGAAAAAAATGAGCAACTAGGAGCTTACTAGCATCCATAGACATTACCTACCTACTCATACGCGAGTAAGGATAGCGAAGTTTTACACACACTCCCCGAACAGTTCAAATAGAACAGTTCAAATCCCAAATCAGATATCCTGAGGTGTATTCATTATTATTAAACATTCATTATTGTGTATTCAATGAAAGATGGAATAATGCACTGGCCGCATTGATATCCTATTCATATTCATTGATAAAATTCCGTTTGTTTATTCTGGGTAAATTTGACTCGCTACTCCATCGGATATTAAACTGTCAACAAATATAACTCGTTTTCTCTTTGTTTACATTTGATAAACATTCACTAATCATTATAATTGAACCTGAGATCAATGTCTGAGGGAATGATTTATCTTTTTTTTTAATCTTTTATCATTTATTCATTCTGATACACTTTTGCTATCGCACATGGACACTATTAAGCTAAAATACCCCTAAGGAGTTACATTTAATGACTGACAAGCACATAATTAAACATATGTATATATGAACAAATACACACACAAACACGGACGGGCATATATATATATATATATATATATATATATATATTATATATATATATATATATTATATATATATATATATATATATATATATAATATATAATACATATACATATATAAATGTGTGTTATATATATACATATCTATCTATCTATATACATTTACATACATACATTCATATATATATATATATATATATATATATATAATATATATATATATATATACATATATATACATATATAATACATATACATATATATATATGTGTTTATAAGAAAAAGGCTTTTGAATCTGATATCTGCCTAATTTGGAAAGACGATGCCTACAACAGAGTCTTAAGATCAATTACTATATCTAGACTAGGAAGAAAAGAGACGAGGAGAGGAGAGAAGAGAAACAAAGAGATGAAAATACAGAGAAGAAATGAAATGGAAAGAGAAAAGAAATAAAGAGAAGGTAAAAAAAGAAAGGAAGAGAAAAACAGAAAAGAGAAGTGTAAATGGAAAGGGAAAGAGACATGAAGAGAAAAAAAGAAAGAAAGAAACAGAAGGGAGAAAAGAAGAGAAAATAAAGGAAAATTAAATAAAATGAAACAAATTAAGAGAGAATAGAAGAAATGCGAAAATAAAAGAAATCTAAAGAAAACGACTCCCACAAAAATGAAAAGAATAGAAAAAAGGAAAATAAAAGGAAATAAAACAAAATAAAATTATGGAATTCGATGAAATAAAATTAATAAAAGAAAATGAAAGGATATGAAAAAAGATGAGAGATAAAACAAAACAAAACGAGAAATAAAATGAAGTAAAAGAATATTGGAAAGATCACAGACGATGATAAAGAGATATGAAGATAATACAGAAAAGAGAAGAGGAAAGAAAAAAAACAAGAAAAAAGGAAAGTTAAAAGTGAAATGAAACGGAAAAAAAAAAAAAAAAATATATAATATATATATATATATATATATATATATATATATATATATATAATAGAAAGAAAAGGAAAAAAAAAGAGTGTGAGAGAGAGAAAAGGAGAAAATATATAATAGACACTAATAATGACGATAAGACCAAAATGGCGATTTGTCAGTCAGAACTCAAAATATCTTCTGAAACTAATAGGGCGTTTTAAGCAAGGAATTCCTTTACCAAAATCTCAAGACTTTTTCTTGCCTTCTCAAGCAACTCCGTAGATGGTTAGATGGCTAGACTTTCGCGTGCTAATTCAAGCGTTGGACCGTTACCATGGCAACAGCGTCGTCCGCTTACCTTAGGGGTTACAATCCTTCGAATGCGGGCGTTGGCTATGGCCTCCGCTTAATATTTTATCATGGGAATTATATTTTAAGGTTTCTGGTTCTGTGGTGTCCATAGCAATATATTTACAGCCATTGGAATTAACTCAAAACGAATGGAGATTATGAGAATAAAAAAGTTTTTTTTCTTGTATAGATTATAAGACGAACAATTTACTTCTTACCTTTAAAGTCATCATCTCTCTAAATGGAGATTATACTTACTAGTCACTGAAATCAATAATATTTCAAGTGAAAAAGTCTGAATTGGTAAAAAAAAGTGATATAGAAAAAACAAAAATCCAGAACTAAAATAGTAATTATCAGTAATATGACGGTAAATAGTCGCTGTTGACGCG